TCAGACCAACATCTTGTTCCCCAATTTATCCCGTGTCTTTGCAGAGTCCCCGAGGTGGTGCCCCGACAGGAAGCCTCACCCGCCGCGGCATGGCCCCAAGCCTGGTACGTAGGGCCGTCGCTAGCTAGTACATGCCGTGCCCGATTATCAGAATCCTGATGTCGGACCTGCCAACGTCTGCATGTGTACATACAGCCCACCTTGTAAACAAGTGCCCGCAAGCAGCATGCGCACAACTAACGCCTCCCACAATCCGTTTTCCCGTGCGTCTTTCAGACAACAACGTGCTCAGGCTGTTCAAGCACGGCTATGTGTACCGCATGTACACCGTGGATGCCACACAGCGCTTGCCGAACACGGGAGCCGAGAAGTTCTGCCAAGACCTGGGTTTCGGCTGGGACCTGGTACCTTACGGTGATATGTCAGGCTACGACGCCCTCAACCACCTGTGCGCCACGAACCACTACACATGCTGGTTCAAGAAGGCCAAGGATGATACCCTGTGCCCGCTTATTGATGCTGAGGGCAAGCTGCAGATGCAAGGCTGCGAGCAAGACGTGCGATTTGTGTGCCGCAAGCGGGTTGACTAGAAGTTTCCTATCGTGAATGCCACGCGTGGTGCATGATGCAAGCAATCTAGGTGTGACGCTTCGGGCTCCATGTTGATGGCCATTCATTTTCCGGCTCTAGGCTCTAGGCTCCGGCGAAAGACAACGACCATGGGTGTTGCTTTCCGAGCAAACAATAAAGTGTATATAGTTTCTACGCGTCGCTTAGCGTGCTCAAAACAATCATGACTTCAATTTGCTCGGCTCTGTGTTGGGAACCGGTTCCCGTGTTCGCATGATGTAAACTATGGGCGGCAATGCTTGCCCCAAAGTATCATTTTGAGTGTCAACTAAAAATGGGGTTTTGGAGCGCATGTACGACAGGGAGCAGAGCAGTCGCCACCAGGCTTGCGAGTGGACGGTGCTAGACGTTTTGACCTTGGTTAAACAGTTTGCCCTCAGCTGGCCTTTCAGGTCTTTGCCGCTGAGTTTCCGTGCGCAGTTAGGAAGGCGCTGACTTTTGCGTAGTTGCAGACAGTTCTTAAGTATGGCTGCAGCTGTAGGTAGGCGAGCCTTTTGTGAGGCTAAATTAGCAGATATTAACCAAGAGCTAGCAGAGCTAGGTTTGACCGAAGCAGACCGAGCTCAGGTCCGCGAGTACAATTGGGCGGTAGAGCAAGCCGAACAAGCGTATCAGGCAGCCATGGCTCCAGTGGGACTTACCAGGCCTAGCCGTGGCAGCGCGGTAGCAGTTAGCACCTGGCAGGAAGCCCATCAGCGGGCCAATTCAAACAGAAACGCTAAACGGAGGCAGGCTCGCGAGACGCACAGGCGCGGTTATGAGTTGCTATCACGTTACCAGTCTTGGGAACAGCTTCGCAATCAGGGGACAGCTCTGCAAGAAGAATTGGCCGCGCTTCCAGGGCCCAGCAACGCAGCGGCCGGAGCAGCGCCGTCTCACATCCACAACGCCGAAGCAGAGGCACCGGAGGAAATTGACAATGGTGAGAACGGGGCGGAGCAACGGCCAGGAGGGTCCAGGGGCCGGCGGGCAACAGCGGCTCGCGTTCGGGCAGACAGGGGACGGGGGGGCACTCGTGCAGTCCGGGAGGCTTTCCAGGCGACCCCCGGCCGTCAGATAAGCCACCGGCACGCCACCACTGCTTCACCTAACGCGCCTGACCCCGAGACCTTGGGCGTAACTGGTCACCTAGATGCTCTTGCTGAAGATTTCCTTGCCACCCAAGCAACGCCACTGCAGCACACCGGCCCTCCCGCCATGCCCGGTACGGGGTCGCCGGCAATCGCAAGGGCAGCGCCGGCGAGGGACGTGGGTGTGGCACCCAGCGCCGTATCCGTCCCACCGACAGCGGTTGTACGGGCTCTCGATCGCCTTGAGAACGCGGGCTTGAGCGATGCAGCTCGCAAAGTACGGCGCCTCGCGAGCCTGGAGCTGGCAAGACGGGAAATCAGGGAGCCTGTATCCGCTGACGAGGCAGCGGAAGTCTGGAGGACGGTGCTAGAGCGGCAGCTGGCGGCTCTGCAGGACGAAGAAGACAGCGAACAGCACCAGCCTCAGCGCCAGCAACGGCAGCAGCAGCAATTGCCGCAAGACCGGCGGCCGGCAGTCGCCACCCTGCAGAACGACCAACGGCACCCTGCCATAGGGAACGCACGCTGGAGTGCCGGCCTGAACCTACAGGGCCTTCCCGGCAGCAGCAGGCTGCAAGCATTTGGGGCAGCGTCAGCAGGCCTGGGAGGCCTAGGGGGACTGGGCCTCACGCTGGGGGGCAGTGGCGGGGACTTAAACAGCAACTCTTCAGTGCTGGGCCTCGGCCACCTACCCCTCGGCTCAGCACCGCCGTCCGCTCTGGGCCCCCTGGCGGCAACCGTTCAGCGTGAAGGGGCCTGGGCAGACGTGTTCGACCGCATCCCAGGCCTCAGCAGCCTGGTCTCGCTGGCGGACGTCAGCTTCGCATCCCGGGACCAGGCGACCTTCACGCACAAGGCAGACAGTCATCTCCGCTCCCTGCAGCATCTCGCGTCCCAGCTGGAAGCGGCCAAACACTGCGCATCCTCTTCGGAGGAGCTCTCGCTGCTCTTGGCCAAGGCCGCGCAGGTGTGGGAGGAGGCTTTTCGTACACAAGAGGTCCTCCGGCAGGTGCAGAATGCAGCCCGTGTCCTGCCCTTCAAGGACGTCATGGACGTATTCAGCAAGGGCTCTCCCCTCACACAGCAGTTCCTAGCCGCCCTGTCGCAATTTACGGACAGCCAGCGCCAGCACCTCTTCGGGAAGTTCGCCTCAGCCGCCGCTCCCGCGGCGGCTTACCCGCCGCCCCCGCCTCTTCCACTCCCGCCGGCCCCGGCACAGCCCCGTGCCCCACGCGACAACGGCTGCTTCTACTGCAAGAGGCCCGGACACAGCTACCGCGGCTGCCGAGAGTTGCGGTCGCTGGAACCTGGGGCCCAAACGGCAGCATTCGCAGAATGCGCCAAGCAGGAGCAGGCAGCCCGCCGGCCGGCTTAGGACGCGGCAGCGTCAGCTGGGGGCGAGGTCGCCCCGGCGCCAACGGCGCCCCCCCTCCATCCAGCCGCCGGCAGTACGGCCGGCGGTGGGGCAGCTGACGCAAATACGGCAGGGATGGAGACACCAGAAGGTAAGCGTGTACGCGACCTACGGCGGACTGGGGCCCTGCGCGGGTGACAAGCAATGTGCTGTTGCGTGTGTCCATGTGGCGCGACCCTGCCCGAGGGGAGAAGGGCCTGCCTGCGTCTACCTGCTGTCTAGTCTGTGGTGTACGCGACCTACGGCGGACTGGGGCCCTGCGCGGGTGACAAGCAACGTGCCGTTGCGTGTGTCCATGTGGCGCGACCCTGCCCGAGGGGAGAAGGGCCTGCCTGCGTCTACCTGCCGTCTAGTCTGTGGTGTACGCGACCTACGGCGGACTGGGGCCCTGCGCGGGTGACAAGCAACGTGCCGTTGCGTGTGTCCTTGTGGCGTTACCCTGCCCGAGGGGAGAAGGGCCTGCCTGCGTCCACCTGCTGTCTAGTCTGTGGTGTACGCGACCTACGGCGGACTGGGGCCCTGCGCGGGTGACAAGCAATGTGCTGTTGCGTGTGTCCATGTGGCGTGACCCTACCCGAGGGGAGAAGGGCCTGCCTGCGTCCACCTGCTGTCTAGTCTGTGGTGTACGCGACCTACGGCGGACTGGGGCCTTGCGCGGGTGACAAGCAATATGCCGTGGCATGCACCGGGGTCGTGTGGCTCTGCCTGAAGGAAGAAGGGCCTGACGGTGTTCGCATGTGGTTCAATCGGTGGTGTACGCGACCTACGGCGAACGGGGGCCCTGCGAGGGGTGAACACCCAAAGCGTAACCTTGACCTGTGCCTCATGCAGTTTTGTGGATGCCTGACTCGGCGGCGGAAACGCCGTCGGCCGGCCGCTGGTTCGGCCCAGGGGGCGTGAAGCTTAATACGGCCGCGTGGCAGCGTCACGGCATCGACACGCCTGCGTCCCGTAACGAAGCCAGCTGGACCTTCCACACCACGCCGCCAACCTCGCACCACTTGCGCAACTAACCATCCGTGCGCGAACACAGCGAATGGTACGCCAGCCACATTGACGAGTTACTGCGCCAGGGCCTGGTGGAGGCGTACGACCGCAAGCAGCATGGCCCCCTGCGCAACTTTGCAGCCACTATCAACCCACTGCATGTTGTCAGCAAGGCGGATGGCAACCTGCGCCCGATCATCGACCCTACCGCTTCGGGGGTGAACGACTGCATGACCAAGCTCCCCTGCCCGCTGCCCGACCTCGCCTCAATTCTGGAGCATTTGCCGTTCCAAGGGGCGCTAGGCAAACGGGACCTCGCATCTGGTTTCCACCACATCAAGTGCAGCCCGGAAGCACGCCGGTACATGGCCTTTAGGCATCCCACCACGGAGGCAGTCCTGCGTTGGGTGGTGCTGCCCTTCGGCGCCAGCCAATCGCCCCCAATCTTTGTGGAGTTAACCAACGCCGCGTGTGCCATCTTCCAAGCGGAGTGCGACCGGCGGGGGCTACGGGTCAAGCTCTTCTGCTTCGTCGACGACTACATCATCCTAGGGGTGACCCATGCAGACGTCGTTGGCGCCTTCGCGGTCATGGACGAAATAGGTGGCGAGCTGGGGCTGGAGTGGAAGACCAGCAAGGACCGCGGACGAAACGAGCACCTGCGGCAGCTCGACTTCCTGGGTATGCTGTTCGACACCGAGAAGATGGAGATGCGCATCTCGCCGGACAAGCGGCAGCGCTACGCGGCGGACGTGCGCGCCCTCCTGGACGCGGCAGCTACCGGACCAGTGCAGCGGCACCTCCTGGAGTCCACCGTCGGCCGCTTAACGTTCATAGCCCGGGCATGCCGCTGGGGTTTCACGTTCATGCAGGGCCTCTACGACAGCCTCTTCTGCCCCACCCGCCCGCCGGCCACTGTCGGCCTGGCGGCGGACGCAGTAGAAGACCTGGCTTTCTGGTGGCAGGTGCTACGGGCGGATTCCTCTGTCTGGGACGGGGTAAAGCGCTCAGCGGGCATCGGTTTGGACCTAGTGAGGGGGGAGTTTATCGGCCAGGATGGGGCCGTCCTCTTCACGGACGCTAGTGGGCGTGGGTTTGGCGCAGTCTGGGGGGAGGCGGAGGTGCAAGGGGCATGGTCAGAGGAGGAGCGTCAGCTGCACATCTCGTGGCTGGAGCTCAAGGCGGTCCTCAGAGCGCTGCAGTCATGGGCCGCCAGCCTTGCCGGGCGCCGGGTGCTGGTGCGTTGTGACAACACCCAAGCCGTAGCAGCCATCAACCACGGCTCCACCCGCATCCCAGAGGGCCGCAGCCTTAGCCGCCAAATTGCAGAGCTTGCGATTAGCTCAGGGTTCGAGGTCCGGGCTGAGCACATTCCCGGCGTGGACAACGGCCAGGCCGACGGCCTCAGCCGCCGCCTTGACAGCGCCCAGGATCAGAACCTGCGGCTGAAGGCCAGCATCTTCAGGAGCTATGCCGCAAGTTCTCTCTCCGGCCCACCGTCGACTGCTGCTGCGACGCCCATGGCTCCAACCGGCAGCCCGGCTGTGAGGTGTTCTACAGCGCGGGGCGGTCGGTGCTTGGCCAGGAGGCCGAGCTGGCGGGCAAGGCGCTGTGGGCCTTCCCACCCCAGGCCCTGGTGGGGGAGGTGCTAGCGACCCTCGTGGCAGCGGCACGGCGTGACTCGCGGACGCGGGCGGTTGTGGTGGTGCCTTTCTGGCCGGAGCGGGGGTGGTTCCGGGCCTTCGTCCGTAGCCGATCCGCACCATTCCGGGTCGCCCAGGTGCTGCCCAGGGGCGGCCGCCTCTGCGTTTGGCCCTGGGGCGACGAGGCGGGTCCTTCTCCTTACGATATGCTGGTCTTACGCCTGCCCTGACCGAATTCCGATCCGCGTTTGCGCCCCCATGGCGATTGTAGAGGGTGGCGGGAGCTGCGAGGCCTGCGTGCGGCGCACCTCCGTGGGGGACTTGCGCTGTGAGACATGCGACATACGGGCACATCGCCGCTGCCTGGGACTGCCTGGGACGGCTCGTACCCCGGCGGCTGGTTCCGCTGCATCCACTGCATCCTGGCGGCGGCGGGTTTTCCGGCAGGGGCTGCGGGCGGTCGGCAGGAGGCACTCGCGGCGAGGCTGGTGGCGCTAGCGGGAAGCGCCGTGTCGGCGGGTTCAGCAGGGACGTACGAATCCCATCGCCGCCGCTACGCGGCCTTCTGCGCTGCTCTGGGCTTATCCATGAGGGCGGCTTTCCCACCTGCGCGGGGCGCGGACCTCAGCCCCGAGCTGGTGAGCCTGTTCATCGCCCATGAGGCCGACCGTGTGGCCCCCTCAACGTTGTCAGGCACCATTAGCGCCCTTGCGGACTGGCAGCGCGCGAAGGGTTTTCCGGCGGAGGCCTCCATCCGCCGGAACCCATTGGTGCAACGCACGCTGAGGCAGGCGTGGCGTGCCCGGGCGCCGGCGGCAGCCGCCACAGCTGGCGGCGATGCAGGGGCCGAGCCGCTGCCGCAACGTACGAAGGAGGCGTTCCCGGTGCCGCTTCTGCGGCTCCTATTGGGCTGGCTGGCAGCGACGGCGGACGGGGCGCCAGCGCGCCGAGCGGAGCTCGAGCAGGATGCGTGTTGGCTGGTGGTGGGTTTCTTTGGGATGCTGCGGAGAAGCGAGCTGGCGGGGCTGCGGCTAGGTGACGTGCATTCGCTGACTGGTGGGGTTCACGTGGTGCGGATAACGAGGAGCAAGACCGATCAGGTTGGGGCAGGGGTGGATGTGCACCTGGGGGCATCGTCTGGCAGCGGAGTACGCATCGGGCGCATTATAGGGCGCCACCTAGAGCGGGCCCGCTCAGGGGGGGCGGAGCCCAGCGCGCCGCTCTTCACGCGGGGCCCCCAGTGGGGACCGGGGTCGGAGGCTTGGCGGAAGGAGGGGTTTACGCGTAGGCTTAGGGCGCTCTTAGGAGAGATGCAGCGCGCCCTGCCACAAATAGCCGGGCGGGTACCAGATTACGCGTCCCACAGCCTGAGAAGGGGGGGAGCCACGGCTGCAGCGGAAGGGGGGGCCTCTGGAGAGCAGATCAAGGCGCACGGGAGGTGGCGGTCGGAGGCGGTGAGCGCGTATATCCTCCCCTCCGCGGCGGCTAAGGCCCGCATTGTGGGGTGCATGTGAGGTGACGAGGCGTGCGGTGGGTGACAGGGTAAGGGGGGTCCTCTCTAGGCGTGCATGCATGCGGAAGCGCGCCTAGAGCCTAATACGCCGGGGCGGGTTTTGGGGGCTAGAGCCCATCCGCGCCCGGCTGTTGGTTTTCCCCCTCTCCTGTTGTTCCCCGGAGAGGGTAGGGTGAGGTATCGGCTAGGTAGCAAACTTGGTTAGTTACAGAGTTGGGTCTCTTAGACGCTGTTCGGAGTCTGGGCCCGCAGGCCAGGTCCCAGGCGGTGTAAGTTGATGAGGGGTGCGACTCCTCTGGCACTGGAGTGTGTGCGACAAAAGTATCATTTTGAGTGTCAACTAAAAATGGGGTTTTGGAGCGCATGTACGACAGGGAGCAGAGCAGTCGCCACCAGGCTTGCGAGTGGACGGTGCTAGACGTTTTGACCTTGGTTAAACAGTTTGCCCTCAGCTGGCCTTTCAGGTCTTTGCCGCTGAGTTTCCGTGCGCAGTTAGGAAGGCGCTGACTTTTGCGTAGTTGCAGACAGTTCTTAAGTATGGCTGCAGCTGTAGGTAGGCGAGCCTTTTGTTTCCCACCCTCCCACCCCTACTCTCTCCGGGGTCCTCTCTAGGCGTGCATGCATGCGGAAGCGCGCCTAGAGCCTAATACGCCGGGGCGGGTTTTGGGGGCTAGAGCCCATCCGCGCCCGGCTGTTGGTTTTCCCCCTCTCCTGTTGTTCCCCGGAGAGGGTAGGGTGAGGTATCGGCTAGGTAGCAAACTTGGTTAGTTACAGAGTTGGGTCTCTTAGACGCTGTTCGGAGTCTGGGCCCGCAGGCCAGGTCCCAGGCGGTGTAAGTTGATGAGGGGTGCGACTCCTCTGGCACTGGAGTGTGTGCGACAAAACCGTTATGTATTGCCGTTTGCCTCTTGTAAGCGCCGCAAGCCAGGAACTGTAGCCCCCTTGCACGGCTGGGCCACGTACGCATCCAATATACCTCAGCCGGGGTATAATATTATTTGTTTGGGGGGGAGGGGTGGCGTACAAGATAGCAACACAACGGTGCCCAAGGGACACAGCGTGCCATACTCTCAGCACGCAGCCAGGTGTTGGCAGACAAAACGTAGCCAGGGAACAGCATATTATTGCATGCATGTGCTTAAATTGCATGGCCGCAGGAGAAGGGGGCAATCATGGATACCCCAAACCGTCGGTTTGCTATCTATCAGGTGCCTGTACGGCCACGTCAGAAATGCGCCATTGTTTGGAAGCCTTACTTTAATGCATGCCCCTAGGAGTGAGCGAGCAGAAGGGTACGGCAGCAAACAATCGTACAAAATCTAAACACGCAAAGTGAACCGCCGCTGTAAGCGGCAACATACCATAAGTAATCCAACAAGCAGGATTCGGCGACCGCCACTTACTCCAACTTTGGCTGGGATTAAAAGACGTTGATCGCAGGCAGGTGCCTATTACATGTCAACCGTCGACATGACATAGGTGTTGGCAAAATTATAGTCTTTGTTACTCCCTACTTATGTGCAACTTGGATCGTTCGGATGTGATCGAATTTTATCCAGCAAACGTACGGTTGCCAACGGAAATGTGTCACGTCAGTCGCGTCCTGACAGGGCCCGCAGTCAAGTCCGCCAGCTCTGCGGGTAGTATAAATGCGCGACTGTATTTTCTTGTATTTATCCTCCACTGCTCAAAGCATATACAAGGCAGTAGCCTTCCTAGCTAGCACTCATCCCCGATCCCTAATCGTATTTTCTCGTTCGTTGGCAAGAGACCAACCAAGCCCCTCGAGTATAGCAACTGTCCCCATACAGCGCCCCTTTTGGCACACGCACGTCATTATGGCTGCCAGTAGTCA